TCGGACCCTTCAACAGCCCTGCTCGCTGCGTTGGAGGCTGGCGTTAAAACGAGGGGATACGTCTCCCAGGACAGTGTATCTTTTTGTCCAACGGTAGCCAACTCGGTGTTGGACGAGTGCGTATCTGTTAACATAACCATGGTGTAGCTGCAGCTCCGCAGGAGTTCTCCCTGCACGGGGCTGACGGAGCAGGGGCTGATCGCTTCCTCTTCCAAAGCAGCGTAACTGCTGGGCAGCTCGTCCAGTGGGCACGGTTTGCCTCATTGATCCCAAATAGAGTTTGGAGGCTCCTGAGAACATGGTTTGGGTGGGAAGGCAGCAGAATAACTGGTTGGGCAGCTGTAGCCTGCTTCCTGTTGAAATTGTTCCAGTATGACTCTTTCTTTTTCTTCTTTTCGTCCTTCCCAACCCCAGGTTTCTGCTTTCTGGCAATCTTCACGGTGGCTCAGTGGTTGCAAGCTATCCCTATGATGACTCTCCCACGCATAAGCCCACAGGAGTCTACAGTAAATCAGCTGATGACGAAGTGTTCAAATATTTGGCGAAAGCTTACGCGTCACATCACCCTATAATGAGAACTGGTAAACCCAATTGCCCTGGCGAGGAGGGAGAGACCTTCCAAGATGGTATCACAAACGGTGCCCAGTGGTATGATGTAGAAGGTAAGCTGTGCTGGTGAATCGCTCTAACTCTGCTAGTTCACCTAACAGGCTGTCTTGTAGAAATAGTTTCTTGCTCCCAGTAAGAAATGACATCCAAACCAGTGGTGATTATCAGAGAGGAAAGGACGGCGGGTGAAGTGGTATTTTTAGCTTTCAATGTGTTCTAGCAGCTTGAAATGAAGGGAAGTGGCATCACAGGCACCTCAGTTAAGTGCTTGATGAATTACAGCCTGGGAGATGTTCGTAGGGAATAGATCACAGCCAACTGGAGGGTTCTTCCTGACCCTGTTAGGTGCAGGAGAGTTATTCTGCATGTGGGAGGCTTCATTTGCCACATGAACGTTTATTAGTTCTCCGGGTGATTGCTAAATTTTGATACAGGAAAGAGGAAACTCATTAAAGGTATTAAACCAATGCCAGTATTCTGTCAGGGTTTTTTTTAACTTCCACATTTGTAATTTTGTAAATGATTATAGAATAGCCTGCTGTAAAAATATGTAAAATGATTCAAATGCGTGGTCTGACCTACCCTAGCCGCCTTAGCTGGAAGTGGGGTAGGGAGCTTTCCCGTGAACTGCTCTGCTGTTAGACCTGTGCAGAGGGTGACAACAAGCATGGCCTGTTCTCGTCCCCCAGTGTGCTGGGATCTAGAAGTGATCCAAAATTCGGTCTGCTGGGGCTTCTAGGAGAGCTCCTGTGCCCTCACTTAGGCAGCTGCGCTGGGAGGTGATCGAATACAAGCAAATTACCTCCTGGTGCCACCACTCTGCTTTGTGTGCAGGTGGCTGGCTTGGCTCAGCCGTGCTGTGAGCTGCTCTGTGTGCGTCGGTTCTGCTGAAAATGGGATTTAAAGGACAGTTTATGTGAGAAGATGCTCTTGTGGGAAAGGCTCTGTGGGCTGTTGGGAAGAGAAATCGTGGCCGTGTCATTAGAAGAAGTTACACCATTGCCCTCTCAGCGGATGTTGTACAACCATGGCCTCGCCAGACAGTGCAGAAACTTCTGTGGTGAGGTCACAACAAAAACCTTGCATAAATGATCCGAAAAAAGTTGCGTTGCTTTGCTGCGCCTGGGCTGCTCTGCTTTCCCTCACGCGAGGGCTGAGGGATGATGGCAGGAGTGCTGAGCAAGCAGTGACATCAAATGCTGTTTATGCTTCAGAGCTTACAGCTTAACAAATTCTAATAGGACGGCGTCTTTGCAAAACATGGGCTTCAGAGCTGGCTCCTGTCTTAACCCCGCATCTGCCTCGCTTGGGAGGGAGGGGGAGGGAGCACATCACCTCTGCTGGAAGTCTTGATTTCACTAGTGGCTGAATCATCCCCCAGGATTTCACTGGTCAAATAAGATGTCGTGTTCAAATAAGATGCGGTTTTTACCTCTTTCTCTAGCAGCCGTCTCCTTCCCTCCACCCTGTTGAGCACACCGGCCCTGGTGTTTGCTGGCTCAAGGTTCACTCTGCTGCTGTGAAAAGTCCAGCAGGAGGAGGGTTTGTGTAATCTGGTGAATTTGCTTACGAGGGAACAGGATATCCTGGGTGATCTGTGCTGCCTTGTTCTGGTGGCAGTCGTTATCGGCAAACATCTCAGTCGGGAGGTTTGTTAGCTGCAGCTCTAATGTTTTCTGACCTTGTAACGAAGCGGGATGGGTGTGCTCTCAAGGGAAGATGGTTCCAGAGCTTGGGGCCTGGGTTCCCCTGCCCCCAGTGAGCAGCATTTTTCGCTGCAGCGTTAACTTCTTCATCCTCCCACTAGGATGCGAGACACCTGGCTAGTGGCCGCGGCACTGGTGTGCGAGCCTTTCGGGCTGCCTTCGCCTTGTCAGCGAGCAGAGCAGAGGTTTCACCTACTTTTGCTTTTCGTAGCAAGTGGCAAGGTGTGAACTGAAGACCAGTTTGCGCTGCACTGCCGTCGCTGTGGTTTGTGCTCCATCCGACAGCCTCTGGCCCCTGCGGAAACAAACCCTTTCGCTGTGACAAGCCACAGGCTCGGGCTCAGCGCTGATGGCTGTAGGCGATTCGTGGGCAGAGATTAAAGGGAGGATGCACCGACGCCAACTCTCAGAGCGTCGCTGGGGTTGGCAGACCTGCGCGGTTTCTCCCCTAAGTGGGAATTTACCTCTCGTTGCTGTTGAAGATGCACACGTGGAGGGTGATGGCAGCCCTCGGAGCACCTCCCAGGCTGAGGAGTGCCCGTAAAGTGTAACCCACGGGAGCTGAGATCCAGGCAGGAGCACGGGTGAACTAACAGATACCCCAGAGGCCAGGACGCGTGTATTTTGATGTTGTGTGAAGTCACCGTGTCTCTTTGGGGTTTTAGGTGTTAATGTTTATTTTTAGTGGTGGATGAAGAGCAGGCACACGGGAGTCAGTTGTATGCAGCGTGTGACAGAAGTGGCAAAACCCCCACGGTGGCTGTATTGTCATCTGACTCCCTCAGCTCTGTGCCAAGGACTGCTGAGGCTCATACTCAGCCCAAGAGGCCTTTCCCAGTGATTGCAGAATTTAAATGTGTGGTAAAATGAGGCTGGGGAAATCCTAGCACCTTGCGGGAGCTCCCTGGGCTGAGCTCTAGAGCTAACCAGAGCACGCGGTTCTGCGAACGGTGCGGGGCACGCGCTCGTGGCCTGCGGATCAGCTTGCGCCAGGAGAGGCTGCAGGCTCCAAGTGAACTAAAGCCAGAAAAAACAAAGAAATGAGAACATAATGTTTCAACAGGTGGAAATTTTCCTGCCACATTTTATCATGAGAAATCAAACATGCTGGAAAGCCAACTGCTATGCGATTCATTTTCCCGGAGTTACCAGTTCAGGTTTATGCTGGTGCCAGGCCCCATTAACTTTCATTTGAGTTTGCAAACAACCTCTTATGTGTGTCAAAGCGAGGTGGCAAGTACAAACTGTTGGAATAATTGTTAAGGTCAAGTGTGCACAGAGAAAGATGGCTCTCCGCCAGACGGCTGAATTTGACTGCTGCGTTCCAGCTGCTATAGATATGCGCCTCGGTGACTGGGGACACTTTTTGGAGGCTATCTCTGTTGTACATGCTCGTACTCTTCCTTCCTTTTTAACCTCTGAGGGCTTTAACTACCAAGTGGCTGGTTCAGATCAAGAAAATACATGCAAGTCTGGTGATGCTTGGAAAGTGGTTAAGAAACTGTTTTAAGTCTTATCTGTGGGAAGGACATGCTTGCCTTTGTTTTGTAAGGAGTGCAGTTCAGAAACGGAATTCAACGTAGTTTTCAATAGGGTATTTTGTGGGCAGCCTTGGAAGGTCGTCTTGTTATTTGGAGTCCCTTGCTAGAAGTTATTTTCCTTGCTAGTTCCTTGCTAGTTTGACTCTCTGATGTCCAAGTGTTTGAGGTGTTTCTGGTGTCTGCTGGAAGGCACTTCTCGGGTTCAAAGTGGATCGAGGTTAAGTGTGTGCTTACTAGGTTGTTTTGACTGTGGTTACTCGCCACGCTGAGCTTCTGAACAGCTTTTGGTGGCATCAAACTCGGAGCAATTAAAATGAGTGCCGAGAACAGTGGGTGCTCGCGGCGTCACTGTGGTGGCCTCTGTTTCCTGGGCACGGCAGAAGGCGGTTGCACAGTGTGAGCTCTGGTAGAAGTTTTCAGCCATGTCTTTCTGGGATACGCCCTTATGTGTTTGTGTTTTCGTAAAATTCTTAGCGTAAATTTTTCTTTCTTCTTGAGGAAAGTACTGGCTTGATGGTTCGAGGGTCTGATTCCTCTTTGCACATCTAACGCGAGCTGCTGGGCAGCGCTGTGGTGGTGCAGCTCTTGGGAAGACTCTGCCCTCCTCTTGGAGAGAGCCCCGGGCAGGCTGCAGGGCTGTGCTGCTCTGGGCTGTGTGATGCAGCTGCTGGAGTTGGAGGCTGAAACCTCACCCCCTCTGAGTTTTAATGATTTCAGACTAATGGACCGAAACATTCCTCTGCCTGTTTGGTGCTGCTGCTGGTGCTCACCCCATCTCATGGTACGAGACAGTCGGTTCTGTCCACAGAGTAAGCAACTCGTGCCACGTATTTAATCACATCTCTAGCTTGCTTTGTGCTGTCTGCTCTCTCTACAGAGCAGACAGGACCGTTTCTCTGCGTTGACTTAGCTGCAGGTCTCTCATCTCCTAATGCCTGCTCCAGCGAGAGCTGGAATTAGAGAGGTTTCTGCATAGTGCAGTTCGAAAATAGAGTCCTGGCTGGCTGGCCTGGAAGGCTTCTCCTGGCACGTGGTGTATTTATGGTGTCTGGATCCCCGGGCTTGACTCTAGAGAGCTGCATTCCCCTGCTTGCCTGCCTGGTGTGGAGCTTGGCAGGGAGCAGAGGCGCGCTTGTCAGAGTGAACTCCGCAGTGCTTGTGCTGCGAGAGGTCTGGGAGCCTTGCCTGAAGTGCAGTCCTGATGCTCAAGGAGTGGGGCAGAGCAGGGGACAGGTTTGTTCTGAGCATTTTTGTGACCCACTGCCAGCTGGGGACTGACTTGCTGTGACTGTAAGCTGCTCACTCTTGCTTTGCTTTCCTCGCTGGTAAAATAGGTATGATGCTTCATTGGGAGGCTGAAGCTTTACGCAGTGTGGGCTTAAAGACACCCTGTGATTAAAGAATGCTGGAATAAATCCAGCAAGTTATCCCAGGTATTACCCAAACAGATAGGCAGAGTTTAAGCACTGTAGTCTGACAGTCCTCTGCCTTGGGTGTGCTTTTTCTGCTCTGCTCCTTGAATGTAGTGCTGTGCTAATGGTGGGCTGTGTACAGGTCTCTCTTTACACCTCCAGATCTTCTGCATAGCCGGGAGAGGCTGTGCAGATGGTATATGGAAAAATACATAATTCCATATGCTGTAAAAATAACTGTCCTGCTCTGCAATGGGGCCACGTGAAGGCCAAATATGTGCAGCGGATACGATCCAAATTTTCACGCATGCAATGGACTACTTTCTTGAAGAGACAGTTTTACTGAAATTGATGCAGCAAGCTCTAATTTAGTCTGTTGCTGCTCTGTTATGGGTGAGCATCTGTCCTAAATTTGCTTGAATGGCAGATGAAGCACTAAATATGCTTCATAATGGCTCTGGTTTACGTATGGATGTTTTCAAATGCATTTAGCGTCCTGCTATGAACAGATGGCTATAGGCTGGCAAATTGTTTCATTCTGCATGGTGTTTACTGGCAAGAGAGCAGCCCGCTGTGGGTTACTTCTCTGAGCCTGGTAACGGGAGCTGAGTAGAACTGAGTATGTATCAGATTCGCAGGCCTCATTCCTCTAACCTCTTGAAGTGAATTTGAGAGTTTTAAAGTCCACAAACACTTTTTGGCCCCTTGTGCTGGACAGAAAAGTCTCTTTCCTGTTTTGATCTCAGCCCGTGCACAAGCTGCAATGCTTTCCTTCTGGCTGCGGGTGACATTTGATTTGTTACAACAAAAGCTTCGTGTTCCCTTAGCAGCAGGCTCCCAGAAGAATCCAGAGGAACTGGGACGTCTTTGATGTGGTACCGTCCCGCACATCTTCCCAGGGGTCTGTTCTTCTAAATCCTACTTTATGCTGTCAGTCCATCCCTGCGTTACCCGAGTGTGGTGGGGCTATTGAATTCAGAGCAGCGGTCCCTGACCTTTTGGGACAGTGAATGCTCACAGCCACCACAGTCGGTATGAGACTCCACTGCTTGGTAAAGTGCTGCTGATAGCTTTTCCTGGCCGTGCATTAACACAGCCTCTGCAACGCCAGGTAGTGCATTTGCATCGTGGTGTCGATCCATTCTGGCCGGTTAATTGGCCAGCACCCTGGAGGGTCCTTCGCTTGTGAATGATTAGGAAACTGCTCAGACAAAGCAAGTAAGGTTTGTTAGCGTAGCACTAATGTAGCACTTTGGCGGGCAAAGCAAAAGATGGGAGTACAAAGTATGCGTTTCTTACAGACTTGCCTGCTGGGGTCCTGCAGGCTGGTGCCATGACATGTGCCTGACAAGCACAGGCTGCCTTCTGCTTTCCTTCCTCCTGAAGTTTGCATCTGTCTCCTATGGAGCAAATGTATAACTGGTCCATGACAGACGGGCTTCTGCGAGCCAGTTTGACTTCTTCAACTCATCCAGAAAAGACCCATTGCCTGGGCCCCTGTGTCCAGCTGACACCGGTG